AACACATATGGACACACAGTACACACGGACTGAAGAATACGTACAAGCTTAGGAAAATACATTAACACACTGTATGAATGTCCTACACACCCACACACACAGAAAAGAGTTACCTTGTGAGTGCTGTAGTTGACCTTTACTTGTCAGATAAAAGGGTGACATTATCACTGTAATATGCCTGAGTGTGTGTATATATACAGAAGGTACTTTTAAGTGTCAGCGGTGTCTCTCTCAGATATTTTACCAGACTAAGATTACTCTACCTCTGCTCCTCTCTTCATCTAAAATATCTCTCTTCATCCTACCAGCTCCTGAACTCCTCTGACCAACTTGCCTTGTATTCTTTCCCCATTTATCTCTCTCTCGCTTCCTCTAGTTACACACTGTTATTTCCATCATACCTCGTTCAATCGCTCCCCCTTCTTCTTCTTTTTCTACAGGAACTCCGGTGATATACTGTGCCTTCTCGGCCTCCGTCTCTGTCTCTCAGCATATTATAATCTCTTCTTTCCTCTCCGCTCCCTCTCCCTTTCAGGAGGGTGAAGGGTAAGTGAAGATCGTTGGGCCCCAGTGGAGAGGCCCAGACATCGTGTCTGTGTATGTGTGTGTGTGAGTGTGAGTTTGTGTGTGCCCCATCATTGCTCATCTCTGGCAGCCTGGCTGGCTGTTCCCCGAGCTACAAGCTACAGAATAAATACACTTTAAATCACCACACACTCTCTCTCACACACACACAAAAGCAGCCTGCTCCCTGGCAGCACTTTGCTGCTGTTAAATGAGGGGTCTGGGGAGTTGTGTGGGCAAAGCCTTTGGCTACTCTCGCTCTCTTCCTCTCTCTCTGCACTCCTGTCAAACACACATTGGAAAAATACGCCAAAGTTCAGATGGGCAGACTGTAATACACCAAGATATTCTAATGTTAAATTAATGGGATTCTGCTTACTGGACATACCAAACCAGGAATATAAAGGCTCTGTCTTGGGATCCAGAGACAGAAAGAGATGTACTGGTGGAGTGGACAAAATGTCAAGACTCTTCACATGAATGACTGGATCGAGGAGAAAAATAGTATAACTTTATTTAAATCTTTTTTTGTGTGTGTGGAATTTTTGAGTTGCAAGAAACATAGATGACCTGTTACAAAGTTCCCTGAGGACAATCAAAAAAGGGGATTTGCAGTTAAATGACTTCAACCCAACTAGTATCAAAGTCCACCCACTCGGCAGCCATCTTGGTAACGCCTCCGGGCAGTTATTTCGGACTAACAAGACCAGGCCCCTATCTAAATGAATGGGGAGATAGCCATAACTGCCCTTTCACTGGTCACTCACTGGGACATAAAAACTGCATGTATAGAATCAGCAGTAAAATCTCATAAACGGTTTGATGACTTCTCCCCAAAATAAGGTTTAAAAAGTGTTTTTCCCCACCGGTTTTACTTCTACTACGCATGTGCAGTAGTAGTGACACATGCGTAGTAGACCATTCTGTCAGTGGAACCACACGATTGGCTTAAATATGTTTCCCATCTCGGCAGTTGGCTTTCTAGTGGGAGAGGCGGAATATCCGCCATCTTTGGCATTACAGACCCTCTCTATAGAGTTGTATTTAGGATAGTTAAAGTGGCGTGTCTCCTCTACAAAACGTCTCTGCTAGTATGCATCATCCCACTTCATTTCACCTCTCAGAATGCTTGGGAGGGATTTTCCTATTTTTGTGAGAAAAATTGGTTTTGCCAATTGATAATAATTTGGTTTCCAGATTTCCACATCCACTGTTAATGAAACGGTCTGTTTGGGGTTTATTAACATTAAATTAGCATTAATTATAGTCAGCTGTACTGATTGCCTGTATGCATTGTTGCCCCATCACCCCTCATGTCACATACCGTATGTATTGATCATATCTAGCAGAATACAAAACTGACTCAGATGCTGAATTGGACAAGCTAAATAAGTGTTCATTCGTTTTCCAGCTGTGACAACACACTGAGGGGCAATTTCTTGTTTTCGCATCCAGCAATTACAGAGGAACATTATCATTAATTTGGAGTTGTGTTTCTGGCCTCTTTATAATATTGGCCTCTTTAAGGCCAATAGTTACTCTCTTTTAGCTTTGACCTTAGTCCCTATTAACTCCGGAATCACTATAAAGCTCTGTAAAGCTGATTAGGAAAAGGTTTTGTCAACACCTTTGGGATGATTTGGAACGCAGACCGTCAGCCGGTCTACCTCACTAATGCTCTTGTGACTCAATGGGAGCAAATCTCTGAAGCCAGGTTCAAACATTTTGTTAAAAGCCTTCCCACAAGAGTGGTAGATCCACCTACTTTTGGCCATTTAGGACTGCAAAGCCTTTAAAACGATCAGAAGCAGTAAAGTAAATGTTTACATGTGTAAACTAATTCCCTACATAAATAACTGCCTTTACTGGATCTTTTTCAGTGTCTCAATTTAGTATGAATTATAAAGTGTCACCGCCTCCACATTCAGTGGGATTCTGTATCACTCTCCATTATCTCAGTGCAGTGTGGGCAGGTGGTGATAGCCCTCCCCCTTCATCCAATCTCCCCCACTCTCTACTGTTTCTCTCTATGCCCATTTCACTGCATATTTTAAACCAGTGGAGTGAGAGGGACTAGAACTGAGTTTTGTTATGGTTTAAGACAAGTAAATACAGCACAGGTGGTGTAAATATTTGTCCACTTAGTGTTTTGGGCTTGGACACAGAGCACCCAAGTGAATATTCTGCAGCCATTGGAAAAGCACTGTTGCGTAGCCAGGAGCTTATATCTGTCTAATGGTCGTGAAATAATAATGATGTTAGCCTGTGATCTGTCTACTCATTCTTTAAATATGTATATACTCCAAGTGTGCCAACAGATATATGAAACAATGAAATCTGACAAAGTGGGATTATTCTGCACACAGGAACACACACACGCACACACAGACTATATATATCCCTGACCCCAGGCTGTCAGCGCATCTTGTTCTCATCTAGCTCTGTGTCCTTCCCACAATGTAACATCAACTAGGTTAACTGCAGCTAATACAGCACAGCACTGCCGTCCTCAATGTCTCATCTTATCTTTCTGTGGTCTGCCTCTCTCTACCTATGTATCTTTCTAGTCTTCCATAGAAAGGTAGTGTTCATCAGCCCCTAGGATTTCAGAAATTTCTCATCCTATTGAGACATGGTGATCCTACACATTACGACATAACAATCAATAAAAACTGGACTGATATTAATATTGGTCATAATTAAGAGTATGTGAGACGGTGAACTGTGACCAAAACCTCCTACCTACAATGTGGTACCTTGTGTATTCCTAAAAGTACACAACACAGCCAGATGTTGACAGGACTGTTTAACAACAACAACTAACAGGAGCAGCCCTTTGAGAAATACATGAAGTGGAGCTTTTTGAGACTGAAAATTCAAAAACTCAGTTAATGATAGGAGTGTAACGAAACAATTAGCTCACGAGATGAGATGAGACACGATATTGGGTTCACGAGAACGAGACGGAACAAGATTTTAACACTGTTTTTAAGAAATTTTCAATGCTGAATTATATGAAAATTTTGAGAATTAAACACTTAATTTTGGGGCGCAGTTAGCTCAGTTGGTAGAGCACAGAGGTGATAAAAGAAACTAAGTAAAAACACTATTGATCAGGCAGAAATCTCACCACAAATCCACACAGGTTAACTTCGGCAGCTCCGATAAAGTACAGCTGACAGTCTCAAACAGAGCAAGGTTGCACCTCAGTTTTTACATGTTTATATTGCAAAACTCTACCAGCTATATTACCACTCGTTACAACTGTCTGGACTCACAGCGCGAGGTAGGTCCACTTCATTACGATCACGGCGTACGCCGGTGTCGCATCAGCGGGGCAGAAATGATTCACGCAGCGATTCAAGGTCATCAGTTATACATTTGTTTTTATCACTGCGTGAGAAAATTGATGTATGGCGTGATAGAATGTCAAAAGTGTCAAATAGGTGAGTCTCACAAGAGCCTTTTTACTTCCAATGATCTTGATCATCCGGTTCTAACTAGTTCCATACATAATCATCATTATCATCATCATCATCCCTTATAAACTTTATGTCAAAAAAGTGACAAATATAAAGAGGACAGCAGGTAATTCACTGCTGCAAAACAAAGTAGCTTATATAGCTTTTAAAAAAGTAAAGAAGGACGGAACGAAAGATCTTTACCTCAGACTTAAATGAGGAGAAAAATGAGGAAGCTAAAGCTTGTTGAGTGTTGCTTTACTGTGGAATAAACTTCAGAGGAAAAAAGGGCCTCCAGTGTTTTGCAAGCTTTCACAGTATTTTTCTGTGAAACTATGAGAAAACTGTATCCCATAGACAGTGGCACTGCAATAACTCCAGGCTGAATATTTGATTGATTGTGCTGGTTAACTTGGATTCATCTTTTAAAACTCAATCCTGACAAGCAATAGTTGAATACTAATATTCCTGTAACAGTTTAACATCTAGATATGTTACAGCAGAGGTATAGAAAAACAAAGTTATTCAGCACCTAACAAACTATAATTACTTTCAAATGTAGACAGAATAAATGTGAACCAGGCACACACTCCAGAAGCATCTGGAGTGAGCATTACAGCCTTATTAAGCAGATTCATTCTCCCTTCAGTTACCACAGTCTTTGAAAGGACCTTCTTTTTGCCTTTTCTTTAGCTGCCCTTTCTGCTTCAGCCTTTGTCTTTGAGGCAAAAAAAAAAGAGAAGAAAAGCAAGAAAATAAAATCAATACGTCCCTCTTCTCATTCTCGGTTGTTTTAAAATCATCCAACACAAACTCTGTGGTGTTCAGCTAGACTAAAGACAGCTGTCATTGTTAGGAGGTTTAGTTATTAATAAACCTGATGTATAAAAGCTCAGGCAACAACGTTTTCAGAAAAATAAATGCCTCTTTGGCTATTCTCTGTCTGATGTGGGAAAGAAATAAAAAAGTACTTACCAGAGGCATTTTTCAGGTAGCCGTTGGAGTCAACTGTGGTATACATGACGTAGGGACCTGGCTGGTTAACACCAAAAGGCTGCAAAAAAACACATGCAAACACAAATTAAAAAACAAACAAAAGTGACAGATTTTGACAAGTATTTTTCCACATCAGCTGTCTATCAGTGAAGGGCGAAAGACGACGGTGAAAGAGAAATACAGAAAGACGAGAGAGAGAGAGTGGGGAGAAGGACAGACAGGCATGGTGTAACCACAGTGACCTTGAGCAGTTTTGTTTTCACTAGGTGACACGACAAATGTCTGACCTAGCTGGCTTGAATCTGATGGAGCGTAAACGAGTGTGACGGCTTCGTGTTGTGCTGTGCGGGTGGACACACAGGGGTCATATTATCTCTTCCTAAAGAAACGATCACAGCAAATGAAGAGATCCGTCGAGCCGTCCTCAGCTAATTGCGAGCCGATAACACATGCAAACATGTACAACGGCAAGAGAGACTTGGCCCTTTATGTTGTGACACTCGGGTGAGAGAGGAATAGAAATGAGGTCAAAAAAAGAAACAGAGAGAGATGCGAGAGCCACAGAGGAGCAGATTAGTGGGCTGAAAGAAAGACAGAGGAAGAGAGGTGTGACTAAGAAGAAGAGGAGCGGGAGAGTGAAATGAAAAGATAGAGGGGGTGATGGATGGGAGAGGAGAGGAGTAGAAACAGCCGCAAGCTCCACTCGTCTACTGCATTCATCATACCTTTCAGTTAGACAACAAGCGGGTGGAAGAGCAGACAGACAGAAAACCAAAACAACTCTAATACCAGCAGCCTCTTGTCGATGTCAAAGCTAATGTCTTTTGCAAAGGGCTTTCCACTGGTGAAAGGTTGTATAAGAAGCGTCACCGTGTTTCTGTCAGATTTCTCTGTCCGTGTTTGCACATCATCATCAGACACGAGCTCTCTGGGATGGATAAAAGGAGTTTAAAGCTAACTGTTCCGTACACTGATGGCTACAATTAACACAAAACGTAGCATTATAGTTCAAGAGCTCACGGTATGTTTTTAATGCAAAACCATAGACCCCATTCAGACAGAGGCTGGTCATGCGTCCTTGGTCTGTCTGTATGGGTCAAAGCAGCCGACCCTCCTTCACCACCCTCCTCCCGACCGTGGTCTAACTGGCGTTGCTACCAGAAACGGAAATTAAATTCAAAGAGATGTTTAAATTTAATTTAACCTATCTCCCCACAAAGATTGAGAGGGCGAAAGAGAAGGAAGGAGAGAGCGACATAGAAAGTGTGCATGAGTGGGCGATCAAGAAAGAAGGAGAGTGCACATGGACAGACAGAGATGACACTGAATCTCAACTTTTGACGTAATTCAGAGCAATTCTCAGGTTTATCAGTGAAATGTAAGCACTACACTGCATAATGGAGTCTCTGCTAACAGCAAGAAGCAGGAGACTCATGAATGGGTCCAACACTGGTTGAAAAATTTGGGTTCTTTACCCTTATGGAGGACAATTAGTGTCATTGCTTGGCCTGATCAGGATTTTAATAGCCATCAATGTGCTAATTTGATATTAGAATAGATGCCTTCTAAAGGAGTAATACAAAAGGTCATCTTTTGTTGTTACCTCTGTTGATGTGTTTTTTTTTGATTGCTCTGAGTTTGGACATTGTGGGATCACGTTGATAGACCTAACTTCACCTCGCAGAAGCTTGTTTGTGTCAAACGGATGAACACTGTCTGGCTGACACCTTTGACGCCTACAAGAAGGTAAACTACCAACGGCTAGCTGTTATTTTAAATTGATTAATACAAGCCCAGTCTCAGCAGAGACTACAGCCGTCCAACAACAAGCAACAAACTTCAAAATATATTTACCAAGGACAGGAGATGGAAAACATGCGCGTGCACCAGGCATTTCTTTGCTCTTACACTGATATTTTATTGGAAAATGCAAACCACAAGGAAGAGCACGAGATTCAGTACAGTAAGCATGGGCTACTGACTTGTATTATGAAGGTCTGTTATAAAAAGAATGAGGGTGGGTAGGGGTACAAACAGGTGGAAATCAAGTTCTGTTTCATCACATAAAAACAAAACTAACTTACTTTTGTTTCCATTTTGTATGTAATTTATTTCCAGGCTGCACTAACAGATACGTACTTTACATATCAAGAGGAGCTTATACTGCCCTAGAGCTCAAAAACACATCACCCATTCAAATCCCCTTCCCTAATTTCCTGAATATAAAGTCGATCCTCCCCATAGACATGTAGTTTAGCCAGCGGTAGGGATATTACAGCCTATCTCTCTGTTCCTGCTGAAAAAAAAATGCTGAGTAGAGAATATGGAAGAATATAAAGATATATGCATGAAAGGGTAACGACTACAGACAATACACCCAGACAGACACATCTGGTCAGACTGATCAGACAGATAAGAAACTGTACTACCACACAATACTTTTTTTATGCTTTCAATAGAAAAGTGGACCAACACAGACAGATTTCTTACCTTGACATCTTCTGGACAGTCATTGGAGCAGAGGCCGCTGAGCACTGAGGAAGACAGAGGTGACAGAGTTAGACATGTTGCTCAGCGTGTGTTACATGTCCAACACAATAACACACTCCGCTGTGGAACAAGTGTCATGTGCGATGGTGCTGTTGGTGTGCCCTAAGGGCCACAGTATCAACATGTATCAAACATCAAGTGGGTCAAACCCGCACAGAGAAATATATATTTTTCACATTTTCCACTGACAGCCAAAACATAAACATTCACATTTTATTTCATGCAATTTAACTGTGTGCCAGGTGAATATGGAGAAGACAGACAATCAAAGAAGGGAGGGTTATAAATAAATGAGAAACATAAAAAATAAATGTGCAAACTATAAACTCTGCGTGTGGCTGTATACGTGCATGCTAAGAGAGCATTTCACTCATTTGTGTGTACAAGTGGAGCGGGGACAAAATGCGCTGAATTTCTAATCAGTCATTAGAGAAGTGACTTTATTAGCATGCCAATAGGGTCTTGGGTCTAGGTTGCCTTGATTTGCCTGATGGGAGTCACACTGAAGCCCAATGTTCTGTTAATAATGTCTACACCTAGCGCTGTACTGAGCAGCAGCCAAACTCAATGTACATGTCCAAAGGGACCATCACAGTGCTCCGAGCTTGATCATGTAGAGAGAGTGGGTGGATCAGTGTGGTATTGGACTGGTCATCACTAACTCACCACAAACATGTTAATATTTACTGTACACACACCAATAACCCATCTGAACAAAGCTAAGCACTGTAAACGATCTGTACTTGTATAACGCTTTTATAGTCTTGTAACTAGGTTATGTTCAGTTATGTGAAGGCCCTTAAAAATAGGTTGCTGTACAGTAATGTGGAACAATGGCAGGTGACCCTGAATCATGCACAAGTCACTTGACTTGTGGACTGTTCCCTGTTACATGATCTCCATTCAGCCATTCATTCAATCCCAATTTATTCGTGAATAGCTCTGTAATCACCTTGATTCCTCTATTCATTCTTCTCCATGGTATTTATAGAACTGTGCAGCACACCATTAAGCATTAATGAATGACAATAATACATGAGTCTAAAGGGGAATTTAGACCCACTGGCACTGACAGTGTTTTCTGAAGCACTTATAGAGTGCTGTCTCAAGGAACAAATGTGTCACAAATTCACAACATCTCAGAGACGCTTGTGTCAATAAACAACCCACTCTCGGTCTCCCTCTCTCTCTCGCACTTTTATTTTTTACACAAGTCTATATTTGTTTCTACTGGCACACCTTATGAAGCAAAAGGAGCTGTTCATATCACACAAATGTTCAACTTCCTCTGCTGTATGTTGTGCACTTGTGAAGAATATCTATGACAATCAACCTCCAGTTTCACTACTTATACTGTTTTCTAAATATCTCAACGACTACTGGATGAAAGGATGAATCCCACTGACTTTGGTGAACACCTGATGTTTCCTTTAGTGCCAGCATGAGGTTTATATTTGTAACGCCATTAAATGTGAAAAGACATTCATGCTGCCCCTAAGGAGGAACTGCAGTAACTTTGGGTCTCCCGTACTAATTCATTCTGGCCCACCATCAGGTCAAACATGTAATATGTCCAACACTTTAGTTTATGACCACATACCTGCAAAACTAATGACATTCCCATCAGCCTCAGCTGTACTTTGCATTTAGTTCTTGTTATACATTAGCAAATGTTAGCATACAAACCCGCTAAAGTAAGGTGGTGAACATTAGCACGTTGGCGTTGTTGTGAGCATGTTAGCATGCTCACAACAACTTAGCTGAAAGCAGCACTGCGTCCAAGTAAAGCATCACTGCAACTTGATTCTAAAATGACTGCTAGCACTGGATTATTCAAGTGTGACTAATTATGCCAATGTTGTATGCAAATGCCATAGTGGCCCAGGGTTGAGGACTGCACTGCACCATTTTCTGGTATTCTGATCACACTAAGTGGTAACCCTTCTGCCATCACTTTCTGTGAATAAACAAGAGGATTTTCTTCTTTTAAAACTTGCTGCTTTGAAGTTCACAATCTTATTAAGTATATGCCCGAAGCAGAATTTAGATGGAGCTCCCATCAAAGACAAACATGTGCTCCTTGACCCTAACTGACCACACTGCACATCAGCTGCTACTTAACATGCTGGTAAAACAGGCTTCAGTTAGAAATTTTAATTTTATGAGGAAAAAACACTTTTAACCTTCTAATTAAGGCCTTTGTTTTTGCAGTAATTTATCATTGCTTTTCAAAGCATATTTACTAATCCCATGGGTATTCTAGAAAATGGTAAGTGGTTGTTTGTAACACGAGAGGGCTGCAAAATGTTTTCAAGTCAGAGATATCAAAAATGGCGTGCAGTGGCCACACACCATTCATCATTTAATGTGACTGTAAAAACTTCAATTATGTCTTTACATATTTACTCACCGTGGTAACGTAAGTGAGAGAGAAACCTTTAAAATGAATGCAGTAAGCTCCCAAAGCCCAAGGCTGTTTCTGGCTATAGAAGTTGAGAAAAGTTGAATAAAGCTGAATGAAACTAAAACGGCATTAGGTTATTTGGCTCTGAAAAGATCAAAGCCTTTTAGGAGTGACTAAGTCTAGGCCTAATGCACCAATGTGTTCAGAATCCCTGCATGTAATTATACCACTCATCAACTCCACGCAAACAGCACATCAACACATCACAGACTATGGTCCAAAGTCATCTATGAAGGACACGATGATCAATAATCACAGATTATTCATTGCTTGTTTGAATTTCATGCTGTGGGGTCAGACTACAGGCACCCCTGTTGCTGACACTGTCAATCAATAAGGCAGAGGGATTAGACTGTCATTTGTTTGAAGTCAGTCTCATTTTGGGAAAGAGAACCTTGGACATAGGACAAAGACTGTAGCAGGACTCAAAGCCACACCACCACCAGCTCACAGCACAGTTCTCAAACTAAAGAACATCCTCCCTTAAGGGCCAAGTTCAGCGTATTGCATTATTCTTTACAATTAATTTTCCAGCATACATACTATTCTCACACAGACCATTTTCACTTCAGCGGTTTTCTCTCGTTATGCTTGTGTGATTAACAGGCCAGCTAAGAATGAAATAAAGTGCGTAAAAATGCACTTCTCAGAGGAGCTACTGCATCTCTGTGGGCTACAGCACCAACTTTGAACTTGTGTCATTGTTAGTGTTAATCTGAGAGCGAATTTTAATTAAAATACATCCCGAGTAAGAGTGACGTGAAGTGTATCCTCAACTTAGAAAAGACCATGGAAGAGAGAAAAGATTTTGGTGCATTAAAGGATCAAGGAGAACAAATGATTTGCAGCTTGACTACAAATTTACTGTACGTCAGAAACTGACTGTCAGGACACTCTCTTATGGGGAAAAAAACTGAGACGAGGTGTTTACTGTCAATTTAAATGGACACATTCGAGAAGAATTGATGAAAACAAAATATCAGATTTAAGTGACATTTTAATTTCCAGTGTTGATGTAATAAAGCTAAATCACACTGGGCACTCCACGGAAATAACACTGTCAGAGAACCCCTCGCCCCAAGCCAAACTCCTTTCTTCTTTTTTTTTTCCCCCCCCGTCAAAAACACAATAAAGTTCAAGTTCAAAAACAAAACAAGGAGCCACTTTTAGTCAGAGGTCTTTACACAGCCACTGAAAAGTCTTGAACATAAGGTACACACGGTACATTAAGAATTTTATGACGCAAATTTACTGATGCATAAAGAGAAAGAGAGAGAGGAAACACATACACTGAATGCAGAAGGCTTTCACAACTCTCTCCAGGAAGTAGATGAGTCTGAGTCATGTGTATGTGTGTGCGTGTGTGTGTGAGGCAAGTTCGCCACTACATTTAGGAAGAGAGAGAGAGGAAGCTTGAATCTAGTGTTTCTTCTGTGAGGCCGCATTGTTCTCTATACTTCAATCCTTGGTTGACAAGTAACAAGTACATAACAGCTCCTCCATGGATAAAACAAGATTCCTGGAATAGCTCTCACACATCCTATGGGGAACAGAACTTGTCTCTTGCCAATACAACAGTCTTTCTCTCACACACACACACACACACACACACACACACACACACTTACAGTACAGCACATACCGTCTCTTTGGGACTGAGCTAGCCTATTTTCTAGTGTAATATTAAGACTGATGGCAGCTCCTTCTCAGGACTAAACTAATCAAGTGGAGAATGAACTGGCCTGTGCACTCTGTGTGTGTGCGCATGTGCATGTGGTTTCATCATTGTGACAATGAGGCAGCTAGTGAGCACCCGCTTCATGAACACCGTGTGCAAATGTACATGCTCTTTTTCTGGTTTTAAGCGTCTTACTGAACAATCGCTAGTCTGCATGAGCAAAATGGCCCACGTGTGAGTGTGAGAAAAATAGGAATAGCATGTTTATGTCTAAATGAGAAAACATAAATCACATACACACAATGTTGCAACAGAAAAAAAAAGGTATTTTCCAGGCCTCCAGAAGGATCAGGAAGTTTATGCTTTGTATTAAAGAGTTGGGCTTTGATTTAGTTTAGTGGTTAAAATAGTTACATAAAAAGTAGACACTAAAATTATTAAGATTTAAGACTCTGTTTAGGGCTAGAACTAGAGTTATACTCCGTTTGAAGCCAGAAATAATATTTTTAAATAGAGTTTTTATTAAATCAGATGTGGTCAGAGCTCGTGGTGGGTGCCTCTGCCTAGGAAGAAATATTTGGCCGAAGCAAACACAGCACACTACTTGGATTTTTGGCTAGTGTAATGATTAGAAAAGTCAGGTTCTACGATCAGATGGACTTCTACCTTTGCTGAGTTTCAGCGACAGCTGCCAGGTAGCCGTATTTCAGATTTAACAATGAAGGAGCACTGATGGCTTTGGATGAAAATGCATCACTTTGTAATACACAGTAGTCTGCCATTATTGAAGGGGGGCCTCTGTGCTCTTAATCCGTGCTGCCAGTTTGTGGTCTGGGAAACTA